TCTAAACAAAAGAAGAAAGTGGTGGCGGGCTGGGAGGGGGGGGGGGGGGGGGGGCTTGATGTGATGGGGGTTGCCTTTAAAACTAGAAGCCCTTGAAGTAAATTGCAAAGGTGGCCTCTCAAAGAAAAGTCGGTGGAAATCTGCAATGGGGTGTGTTAATATCCATGAAACTTATAGAATAGGCCTGCAAAGTTGTTTTTTTTGGTTTGTTTGTTCCTCTCACCAAAGCTGAGATTTCGCTTTAAACCAGCAGTGCAGCAAAAAGGGATATGGATAGTAATCATTTCAACACCATCTTCACCAAATTTCTCCAAACAGAAGAAATGAACCTTGCATCATCAATAGTGTGCAACCTACCAAATGGGAAATTGTATAATTCAATTTTCTGCATGTACCTTGAGTATACTATGGATAGTCTATAAAGCAGCTTATTTTTCTTCAAAATAAGACTACTCAGTGTTATTCATACAGACCCTCACACACAGCTTTTCTGTGGCTAAAGCTGCCCATACACCTATAGATTATCTGCAGATGTTCTATGGTCAGATGGAAATAGTGAAACAGATTCCTTCATCTACGCTAAACTGTGTGGATGGAGGAATCTCCGGCTGAGCCAAGCTTCAGTATCTTGCTAACCGCCCCGGCTGGCTCTCAAAATATCTGATTGGATGCAGGCATTGTTCAGGTATTTTGAGAGCCAGCGGGGCCGACTAGCAAGATACTGAAGATTGGCCCAGCAGGAGATTCCTCCATCTGCACAGTTTAGCGTAGATGGAGGAATCTGTTGCACTTTTTCCATCTGACCATAGAAAATCTGCAGATAATCAATAGGTGTATGGCCAGTTTAAGGGTGGAGAAAGAAATGTTCTCTTTGGGCCATCTAATGCACCTCTAAACTGACAAGGTTTGCTTTTGTAGGTATCGCCTACACAACTCCATTGTTACAAGTGATTAATACATCTATAACATAATCAATGTCAACACCATGCTTAGCTGTGTATGGCCATCCAACAAACCACTTTCCATTGTCTTCAATAGAGTGCCAACTTACTAGCTGTGTAGCATGGTGTTCTCTAAATTCCTCATCACTATGAAGTCGCTGCTGAATCTTCTCTGTATGCTTGCCAATACAGATCTCCTGAAACACAAAGATAGAAAAAAGGTAAAAAAATAAAACTACTTAAAAAGGCAAAATGGGAAGAGATTCAGGGCAAACCAACCCCCAACCTTCCACCTCCCAATGACATCCTGGGTCAATCAGTACTGTCACACGGCGCTTGCACATTGTGTAAACAATGACTACAGTAACTTGCAGCTTACACAGGACACTTGTTTGGTCCCAGAAGCTGAAACGGTACATGAAAGCGAACAAGTTGCTTTAAGACTGCATGAGCCATTCACAGGTTCACTTGTTTGTAAAATGTGTTTTCATTTATTCAGTTATATTCTGGTTCTCTAACTTTCTTCTACTGATAATACTATTCATAGAAGGCAAAGAAAAAGAACCACATTGTTTTTTAGTAATGGTACCTTTTTGTTTCTGAGGTAGGCTTTCTTGGCTGAAATTCGGCCACGTTTTGCTTCAAGCTGCCGAACTTTCTGCTGAAGTTTATGCAGCTCTTCTCTTTGTAAATGAATAGAAGCTGCCATGTTTTCAGTTGCAAGCATTGCCTCCATGCTTTCATATGTATCATAATAGACAACTTCATCTCTTTTCTCTGCAGAACAGAAAGGAAAAGGGGTAAACAACAAACAAATGGATCCCTGTCCTTGAACGTAACTTATTCCCGTTAGTTTCATAGTGATTACAAATCATTGATTGATATTTATATAGGTTGATAAAGGTTGATGATTTTAAAGTCTTGCCAAGCAGATATTGTCACCAACTAAATTATGGTTAAGAGCATTTAGCCATAATGTGCTATTATGGCTTCAGTGACCAGGCCTCGATGGCGCAACTCCTGAGCATGCACACAGGAGTTGCTACATATTGGCATGCCGAGCTGTGCATTTCCGTGACTACAGAGAAAAATTGCTAAATGTCAGCAGAAAGCTTTTATGGTAGAAGAGATTTGCAGTTTCTTCTTTGAAAATAAATAAACGCCTGCCTATCAGCAATTTTTTGTTTTTTCCACCTAACTTCCGCTTTAAAAGCAAGAAGCTAAATTACTAATTTTACAGCTCTTTAATAGGCACCAAGCAGTATATATTAACATATGTTTATGTATATGAAGTTTTAATTACATGCTCTATTATGTTTTCATTGTGTTTAAAGAGAATTGAATCCCATATATTTTATTGTATTATTGAAAGACTCTGGTTAAATAGCAAACGGATCACGACACAACTATGTAAACTTTCTGAGCCTTCTCCAAATTCCACAAAGGTGTTAGGATAAGTGTACTTGGTCCACTGTTTTGATAGCCCTACTATTAATCTTCTTTAGGTCAAAAGCAAAGCCTGAGATACGTGCGGCTTAACTGCATAAACTGAAAAAGTAAATAGTGATTAAAAGTTATTTAAAAAGGAGCTGCCCATGCATGCAGTCAAGGCTGCTGAACAATCTTTCCAACTAAAGATCATGGCAAAAACATACAGATTTGCATTGTGAGAATGTAAATACTTGTACAGAGGGGACAGGGCAGGAAACATAAAATAATTTAGGCACCATTCACAATTGAGCATCTTTGGAAGTTTTTTCAGGCTTTTTTTTTTTTTTGTACAGGCATTCTTGGGTGCGTTTCATGATTGAGATGTTTATTATTATTTTAAGCCATGGAGAGCTAATTAGTTTCAGTGCTCCCACTGCAGTCTCTTGAGATTATTCTCTTCTCTATTCTGACTACCTCTATGATCATATCTGATCTCTATCATTCCCTGACTCGACCACTTCTGTCCACAACAGTTCGCTCTCATCCTCCCTGGTTGGACACACTTGCAGACCCACTCATTACACACAGAATTAGGCCCTGACCATTACAATCCTGGAAAACAGATGACACCAGAAGTCTCAAAAGACAGCTGTGATTTTAATCAAGTGTGACATTAAACCAGGTTCCTAAGACTTCACCCTGCATAAATCTACTCTTCTAATATATCATTCCTCCCTCTATGCTGCCAAACAGACCTGTTTCATAACACCCCCCAATCCAGTCCTCATCAACTCTTTTCTACCTTTCATAGTCCCCCACTGCCTCGGAGATTGGCAAAAAAAAGGAAAATATAAAATTAGTGATGAGATCTCCACTGTCCAGACGTCTCCCATACTCAACATACCATGTCTACGACCACATTCCTTTCCTCACTTTCCTCAGACAGGAGGAGATTGCCAAACCACTTTCTGACACCCACCTGCCCCCTGTACCCCGTTCACTCACATCTACTCTAGTCACTCTCTTGCTCTATTCTACAATCAATCTCTAACTCAAACCTTGTATCTCTCCCTCTACTGGCATTTTCCGCTGCCCTCCAAAATTTACACTGGTGACCCCCACACCTAAAAAGGCCTTGCCCGACTCCACCAGTCTGAATAACCCAAGACCCAACTCCTTACTCCCACTTACCTCCAAAGTTCTCCAACAACCTAAGATGCTACATCACTGATAACCTTCTTGAATCCTTTATAGCAGTGGTTCTCAACCTATGCAACCTCAGGACCCACATTTGTCCTTGGTCATTAAGTCGCTGCTGCCCTGTGACGGAGCTCTATCCATACATGCATTGCTTGTACAGCTTCCTTGCAGGCCCTGTAGAGGTGCGGGAGCCAGAATGTGACGTCACTCTGGTCCAGGCACCTCTACACGGCATGCAAGGGAACAGTAAGCAATGCATGTATGGATGGAGTTCCCTCATGGCCATAGCTCCAACCCACTCCACCTCAAGCTGACACTCGGCACCTAGCATCATATTTTAAATGGCTGCTTGGAACGAGAACTGACAGTGCTGTGCTAGGGGGAGGCTGAGGAGCCTATCACCTAGAAAAGTGGAAGGCACGCGGCGACCCACTGAACACAGAGTCGCAACCCACTTTTGGGTTATGACCGACCAGTTGAGAACCAAGGCATTATAGTATGGCTTTCTCCCACAACACTCCACAGAAACCCCTCTATTAAAACTCACTAATGGCTTACTAACTATTAAAACCAATGGCTGCTACTCCTTACTTCTACTACTAGACCTTTCTGCTGCCTTTGATACAGATGCCCACAAACTCCATCCTCTTAGCCTCCAAGACTCTGCTCTATCCTGGTCCTCCTTTTACAATGCTCCTTCACTGTCACCTACAACTCTACCTCAACTTCTCCTCTTTCCGTAGGGTTTCCCACCAAAGCTCTGTCCTCTGAGCTCTTCTATTCTTTGTCTACACCTCCTTCTTTGTTCCGCTGATAAGCTTCGATGGATACCAATACCATTTCTATGCTGAACATACCCAAATCTATCTCTCTACTCCTCAGCTCACCCCTTCAGTCTTTTTGCACATCACTAATTTAGTAACTGACGTACGAGCATCAATGTCACACTTCCTAAAACCCAATCTTGCCAAAACTGAGCTTGCAATATTTGTTTTCAATTTGTGTTGAAATTGTACCGTCTCTCTTAAATTTTGAAGTTCTGTGAAAACTGTTGGTGCTATAGAAATCCTGTATAATAAAAATGTGGGTTCTTTGCTTTATAGTTAAGAGCAGCGCTGAAGTGAAATTTTGATCCAGACTAAGTAATGGATGAAACAGGACAGTTCATTGAGTATTATCAGATATGTGGATAGGTAAAAATAACATATCTACGGGTAAAACAAACTTCTGTTAACAATGTCCTTTTATCTGCCCTTTATAATAACAATAAAAAGTTGTATAACATCTCTGTCACAACACTGGAATGCTGTATGCGTTCATTTAAATATAAGCCATGACTCATCTTTACTGTAAGGCTAAGCTGTCATTAAACATGATTTTGAAATGCAGGGCGATATAATTAGACACAAGGGAGTCATGCGTAACAAATAACTGACACCCCATTTTATCTTCCCTCTTTGAGACCGATAACAGATCAGCAACAATGGCTGCACTCTCGCAGTAAAGTTCAAACTATAGAGCGATCTTTGATTATTTTTCTTTCCCTGTATGAAAAGCAAAAATTACCAAAACATCCTCGTCTGTCCTGTGAATGCGCGTGTACACTCTCAATGCCTGTGATTGCTTGTCATTAAACTGCACAGATTACAGATTCCAAAACCTTGGGTTGTCACCAAAACAGGAATAGATGGGAAATCTTCCAATGGGGGAACTAGTTCTAGTGACTTTCTAGTGACTTCACTTTGAAAGGAATTTCCTTCCACTTCCTGTTGTGGCTATCAGACAGGAAGTGAAGGAAAATCTCCCCAATGGCACACAAATTGGGAAAAAGCTGACAGGGGTCATAACCCTCCACTGTTCCATCAAAAAAAAGATCTCGGAGTTCTCTCCCGCTGCCTTATTATTCCTTCGCCTCCTGTGTTGCTGCTGTCTGTGATGTGTAATTCCTTCATTCTTCTGCTGCATCTATCTTTCCTCCCACCAGCATTACCTGTGCGAGTGGAGTTTTGTTTTCCTCATCATATCAAAACACAGCTAAAATATTTTTGGGTTATGTATTTCCAATCTTTTAATGCAAAGTTTATCTGCTTTTAAAAAAAAAAAAAAAACCTAAATACTCCCATTTCAGCTTTTTATATAGGGAAATACACTACCTTCCATATATAAGTTATCTTATATGGCTGAGCAAAACAGAGAGAGAAAGATCTCTGCTCACCCTTGCTAGGGAGATGAGAAATCACCAACATCACATGACCAGTAGACCAAAAACATCTGCTGGAGCAGGGATGTATCTTACTACACTATATGGCCAAAGGTTTGTGGCCGACTGACCCTCATTATAAGCTTTATGAACATCCCATTCCAAAAAAGGTGTCCTACTACTTTTTGTAACATAGGTTGTTTTCAGCCACCATAGACAGCTGAAGTTCAAAATAATCACAGAATCAACTTTTGTACACAAAAAGTGTTAATATATATTTTAGGGATGCACCGATATATCGTCCGCCGAAACATATCGTCCGAAAATGGCACTTTTGGCATAATGCCGAAAGTGCCATTTTCCTGCTGATACATCGGCGCATCCCTGACTTCTTTCCTCCCCGCTGGGCGCTGCTCTGTGTCCCAGCGGGGTGGAGAGAAAGTGACAGCCGGCCGAGCGCTGCGGTGGAGAGCGCTGTGAGCGGCCGGCGTCTCTCCTCCCACAACGCTCAGCCTCCTATCACAGATCGGCAGAGCAGTGTGGGGGCGGAGACAGGCTGCGCTATCACAGGAGGCTGGGCTCTCCTCCCTACACCGCACGATCAGCCTCCTGTGACAGCGTGTCAGAGAGGAGAGCTAGGTACAAACACTCAGTGATCAGTGATCGCTGAGTGTTTGTAGATAATTGAGGACATGGTATGTTTACTATATCCTCAATTATGAATGAATGGGAAGTGATCTACATCGCCTCCTGTTCATTCATAGTTGTAGTTATAGTAAACATACTATGTTCTCATGTTGAGAATGAACAGGAACACTCCTAGAGGATTCCTGTTCATTGATAACAGGGGTTGCAGAAAAAGAGATTTTTCTATTTTAAAAAGGGAAATATCAGGGGTCTGTTTAGACCCCTAATTTTTCCCCGAAGCCCCTAAAAGGAATGTAAAAAATTAAATAAAAAATTAAAAAATTAAAATGTTTATAAAAAATAAATACAAAATATTGTAAAAAATTAAAATAAAAAACATTTTCGGTATCTGTTTCGGTCTGACAATTTTTTTTATTTCGGTTTTAAAATTTCTATTTTGGTGCGCCTCTAATATATTTCCTTTAGTTAGAAAAAAACTCCTAGGCTCCATAAAGATGCTAAATGGCGATTTTTGAACGTCCTGCTGTTTACACACCTGACATAATCCTCATGATACAGTAGCTTAGTATATCTGTAATAACCGGAAACATGGAGAACAGAAAAGACACGGTCTCTGAATTTTACAGATTAGGAATCATTTAAAGCTTTGTAGGGAACGTAGGTTACACTGCCAGAATAGAATTTTTATACAAGGTACATGTTCAAGCAGAAGACCACTGCATTTCCCTTGTGATGCAACATCCGCTATCTTCCTCGCTGCCACCAACATCTTTGTTTGGTCTTCTTGTAGGTATGGCATTTTCAACCATCTTCATTGGCGGGCCCAGGATGACATAACTCCTTTGCATGCCTAGAGGAGCAAATTCATCTAGCAGCCAAGGCAAATGTTGACACACACATACACGCGCACGCATGCACGCACATGTTTAGCTGTGAATCAATCATTTATATCTACACATGTAAATATACAAGGTGGCAAAGACTCCAGTAAATACGCAATGCGACTATGTAATGTAAAAGAAACAAACCTGACATCTGGCGTTTGATGCTCTCCAGCTGAGCTGTAAGTAGCAGCTCCTCACATTTGAGAATCTCAAACTGGACTTCATACAGCTGAAGCTGATGAGTGTAATAATCTGCCTCTAATCGGTCTAATACAGCTATCGCTTCTTCTCCACCATGTAAACTCTGCATCTAAAAAGGAACAACAAAAAGTAAAATTAGCTCATAGGATTGTATTAAGCAGAACCTTACCTAATAAGGGTAACTGTTATATGAACATGTTTGTCTTACATGCTTCACTGGCAATTGAATTAAGATAAACATACAACAGTCTGGAATAAGAAAGCCTAAAAGCAACAGGTCTCTTGGTGGTATGCAGACATGGAAGAGATGCCAATACTGCATTAGGAACACTTAAAGCTGGTTAAGAAAGGTGAACAAATTCCCCTGATAGCACATGCAAAGGGGTTCCAAAGGAATAACTTAAATCCTAAAGCTATCTCCAGGTATACAAATAAATAAATAAAATAAACCACCTACCACTGCAGTGGCAATACCCCATGCAATACTCATTTTTGTCTAAGGGTATGGTGAAAAGGGCTTTTACTTGCTCCCCAGTGGTCGGCGCTCACCTCACTCCCCTCCAGCTCATGGACTGTCGTTTAGGATCGTCAAGTATATTGCAGGAATATGGGCCCTGCATTAGACGTCATGACATCAGAGGGCCTCCAACCTGCAGGTTTTTCTCCACATTAGCACGTGTTAAAATGTGCACAAACACTGAAGCAAAAAACGCAGAACGCATGTTACAAAATTTGCTGCATGAGCTTTTTTGCTGTGCGTTCAAGACCCCATTGAACTCAATGGGGATGCGTGGCACAAACAGCACACAAACGTGCGCAAAAATAATGTGCATTCCGGGAATGCCATGGTGTGAATTGGGCCTTAAAGTCTGACTCTGATTATAAATAGAGAGGGAAGGGTAAAGCTGGGTACAAACTGGTAGATTTTCGATCAAACTTTCCCGCAGTGATTCCCCCCTACCGTCTGATTCCCCAGCGCTGACTAGAGGAACGGACGGGGGAGGGGTGGGCAAAGTTGGCTCTGCCTCTGGAGAGGCAGAGCCTGCTGTCAAATCAGCCAGCTGGGTGGATTTCTACAGTATTGTTGGGATCCATCCCAGCTGTGGCGCTCTCAGCATATAGCGGGCAATGACCCACTATATGTTGCGTTTTGGGTCTTGGGAGAACACAATATGTTCTCCCATTTCCCTGAGAACTGTAGAATAATACGTTGCCACATAGTTCTCCTTTAACTTTTAGAAAAGCTAAATCTACTGGTGAGATTTCCCTTGAATGTATTTCAGTGACAGTATTGAAAGCCTGACCAAGGTTCTAACCTTTCTACTGTAAATGTGTCTGTTACTTTCCTTCTCCACACTGGAGAGATGTCCCATCACTTCTTTTCCCTACGTCATTCTAAATCATTTTCTTATTAAACTAAAAGCTTAGATTGCCGAGTAATCAGAAAAAGAATTCACAGAGAAACAATTAGCAGATGCTTAGTTGACCTCTCAGCTGAGTGTTATATTAAAGCTTCTAGATCGCCTCCCAAATTTGGAAGGTACAGTCATTGCTTTAAAAGCATATAACTAGCTCACAACTTTCCTGATTTGGGGTGATCAAAGGAATGAGAGCTCATGTCATCATTCCGACTACTGACCCGGTAACTTGCAGTGCGAGATGACTATGCCTGGGGATTGGACTGGAACAAAGCCAAGACTGACATTTCTGTAACCGAGTTAAGTAGATCAGTACTGTCTATTTCCATGCTAGTGAGTGTGTTTTTATTCACTAGGACCCTATTGAGATCATTATATCAGTGTAGTTCAACTTTATTTCTATACCTCCATGACATAATGTTTAGTGATAATGGCATTACATTACACCTCTACATCCCTGTCAAAGCGAGTGGAAATTTTCCCAATTAATTGGGACAAAGACTAACACAAACCTCACTTCATCCAAAACAAAAAAAAAATTTGGCTGGTGTTAGGCTGTATATTATGGAATATACAAATTATTCTCCCAATTATGATTAATCCATATATGCATGGCTAATATTTGCTCAGTAGATTTTTTTTTTAAATGAGCAAAACAAATGGCAAACGCACTCATCAACTCATAACCAGCTTTAACGCAAGGCGCACCTTCCTTGTGTGTCCCTGTACCTTTAAGGAGGTTGGGCTGCCTCCTGGCAAACCTGCACCCACTTTACCTTTTGCTACATGTGCTCCAAGATGAGACTCTCACCGCACTACACAGAGGAGCCTTGGCGAGGCAGTGCGGCTTTCACATATTCTGCAGAAGACGTGCATCTAAAACCTCTGTTTTTAACCTTAGCGGTTAGACAGTTTTTTTCTTGCATGCTGGCTTGTAAATGTGAGCTGGGAAACTTTTTGCTGTTGTACTTTTTTTTTTTTTTTTAAACCCTGAATTAAAATATTATTTTTATTTCTCTAGCAACAATCTGAGGTGTTTGTATTTAATGGCTCTCAATAGCTACATCATCCAGCCTGGCCAAACTACATGAGCTGGCTAAAGCTGGCCATAGAGTATACAAATTTCGGCCGGTTCATTGTGAACCGGACGAAATTCACAGTGAGTGCTGTCAGCACCCTTTCGGCTGGCATCCCTCGATCAGCTGATCGAATGAGCCGGTCACAAAATCTTCCAAATAATAATGAGCCAATGAGCTGCCAGCATGTTTGGGTACTCTGAAAGCGGCCGGGGCGGCCTTCAAAAGAATACAATGAAGACAGCGGGAGATTCCTCAATCATTGCCCGTAAGCACTCATGGAGGAATCTGTAATATTTTTTTCATTCAGTCTGCAGGTTGAACAAAGAAAATATTTCAGTGTATGGCCAGCTTTAGTCTGCAGTCCAGGATGAAGGCATTGCGACTAGCAGAGGTAGAGAAATGAAGCGCTCGGCAGGGATAGCAATCCAATCAATTACCAATGCCAGGATCCAGGAAGTTCAAAAGTAGCAGAGACCTACTGAGTAGGGGATGCACCGAAATTTCGTCGGCCGAAAATGGTACCGAAAAAAGTAACATCTTTTAGCCGAAATTGCGGTGCATCCATGGATTCTGTCCTCCTCGCTGAACGCTGCTCTGTGTCCCCTCTGACACAGAGCAGCAACCGGTGGGGAGGAGAGAAACTGTCAGGATGCCGAGTAGTGCGGGGAATAGAGAGCTGTGAGCAGAGTGTCACAGAAGGCCGAGCTCTCCTCCTGCAGCAGATCAGGATGGAGAGCGGTGTGTGTGAGGAGACAGCTATGAGCTGTCACAGGATGCCGGGCTGGCAGTGCGGGAGAGGAGTCAGCTGTCACCAGCTCAGCCTCCTATGAGGCCCATAGAAAAAAAGTAAAATCGCGCAAAATCCGCCGAAAAAAGGGTCCGGTAGAAGCGACTTGCGACCGCGACGAGCGACGCGCGACATGGAGTTAAGACAGCTCCATTGAATAACATTGGCCGCAAAAATGCGCGATATCGCGGCGGAAATCGCGCGACAATTCGCTATATGTGAACGGGGCCTTACCGTGAGTCAGGATATAGAGGACACAAGCACTCAGCGATCAGCTGATCACTGAGTGCTTGTTAATAATTGAAAGGTTATGAATGAAAAGAAGCACTCATTGTAGCGTACTTTTGTTCATTCATAACAGGGGCTTTTTAAAATAGAAAAAAAGAAGAGGATTCCTCAATCTTCAGTGGGAAAATTCCACCTTTTTGGTGCACCTCTACTACTTTCTATACACAGGTTCTATGATTCCTAAATTAAACAATGTTTTAAAGCCCAGCTGAAGTCACAGAAATAGATATGCAGTAACAAACTCAATTTTTATAGTCTCCACTTATCTGTTACAGCAGGTGTGTAACACGGAGTCCAAACAATACTGTTCAATTCCACATGCACCAAGCTAAGTAAGCAAGTGCGCTCAGTATTTCATATTCAGTAACATACCTGCGCTGCTCAGCCCAACCCGCGCCCCCCTCTATGCAATACAAATCAGCCAGTATAGCTCATAGCAGTGTAAGGGACAGAAGCAGAATTTTCCTTGAGAAAAATAAAAGTATGTTTAGGCATTTATAGCTAAACTCCAGCTTTAAAAAAGAATGATATATTCTTACAATGGTTAAGCTTAGCACAATGTAAGTATCTATAAATGAGGCCAAGGCAACAAGGACTGTGTAATACACTGGAGTAGTCGCAGCTTCTACAATGTATTACAGCATCTTTCGGGTATAGAAACAGCTGCTGTGCCTCCACTCCAAAACACAGCCAGTCGCTGGCACAGCACAGCAGCCACTCAGAAGACGTCTAGTATTTTTCTGGATTTGGCTGGATTCCCCTCTCCCCGCTCCGATCTGCCAGCGCTGACTGGCGGAACGGACGGGGAGGGGGCGGGTACAGCTGGCTCTGCCTCTAGATAGGCAGAGCCAGCTGTCACTCACACAGCTGGGCGGATCCCGTCATCTACGTCGGGATCCGCTCCGGCGTCTCAGTATAGCGCGAGCTGTAGCTCACGGTATACTGAGCTTAGGGTAACGGGAGGACGCTAGTTTGTGTCCTCCCGTTACCCTAAGGAGAACTATTGGGAAAAACACTGACCCCATAGTTCTCCTTTAAAGTCAAACATTTTTTCCCTCCCCCCAATGTTAATGTCAGCACTTACCTTAAATGAAATGATGTCCTTTAATCCGATTTTCCTCTTCTTTCCTGTCCTTTTCAGCCTTCTCTCCAACGCTGCGACGGGTGTCCAATCCAGCGATGACTTCGCTGTACTTGCTGGCCCTTCCTGTCCCACGGTGTCTGCATGCGGGTGCACGCGTCCATAGACTTACCTTGCTTCTCTCCTCGTCTCCCGGCCAAAAATCCAAACTGTGCATGCGCCCGCCCGAGCAGTTTCGGATTTTCGGGCGGGAGCGCGCAGCAAAGACGGGGTAAGTTTTAACCCACGTTAAAGCGTCTTTTTAAAAAAAATAACTTTTTGCATATATCTACTGCTTGCTAGCAGTAGATATATGCAAAAAAAACCAAAACGGAGGCTTTAGAAACCCTTTAACACAAGCCCTGATATTCCTCTACACTAGGTTTGCATGCAGCAGATTACAGTTCTGAAGGAAAGGTTTGAGAAAACGTAAGCTGAAAGGAGCACCCTGTATCATATCCAAGCAATTAACTAAAAGGGGCCACATGCAACCCAATATCTCACATATATGAAATTAATCTGTATAGGACTATATTCATCTGACTATCAAAGGGAATAAAGACACCAACCACATATTGTACCAGGTACCACATCAAAGTTAAAAACAACCAGGAAAGTTAATTATAAGGACATCACGTTCTGAAGCAGACCAGACTAGCAATAACAAAACAGCATGATCTAAAACAGAACGGGCTAACTCAAGGAAGGACTACTAAAGTCAAGTTCTATAAGTGTGCTTGCCAAGTTCTAAAAAGCTTGTGGATAAACAGTGAACTAAACTCGGAACACCAGAAACTCAATTAAACAAATGTTTAAAAACAAAATCATTCAGCCATGAACGGGCTTTCCACAGATTTGGAAACCCTTGATGCATCCCCTAATTACCTACAGGAGGGCCTGCCCATGCAGAGGAGCTCCCAGAACCCTACCCTCCGTCCCTTCCTCCATCCTTCTACTCTTTGTTCCCTTTTTCCTTCTTGTCATTTGGTTACAATTCATGTCTACAATATGCACACTTAAAAGGAGAACTATGAGGCAAGTGAAAATCGCTCATCCTCATAGTATGAGCCGATGTGCGTCAATTAAATTGTCACACGTTGGTTCAATAGATCGGGAGGTGAGCGAACACGTACCGTCACTCGCTCACTTCTCAATCATCTCCCTGCAGAGAGCCATGACTGTCTGTCACCACTCCGCGCAGGGATTCTCCTCCTCCCCTCTCCGATCCTCCAGTACGGATGGGGAGGGCACAGCTGGCTCTGCCTCTAGATAGGCAAAGCCACCTGTCATTCACGCAGCTGGGTGGATCTCAACAGTATTGTCGGGATCAGTCCCGGCTGCGGCGGTCTCAGTAGAGCTGCAACAATTAAAGGAGAACTATGAGGAGTGCTTTTCACTCACCTCATAGTTCTAGCCGACCTGTGACAATGAGACTGTCACAGGTCGGCTCAGTAGATCGGGAGGTGAGCGAACACATAACGGCGTTCGCTCACCCCTCGATCCTGTCACGGCTCTCTGACGTGGGCTGGATTACCCCTGCTCCGATTCGCCAGCGCTGAGTGGCGGATCGGAAAGGGGAGGGGGTGGGTACAGCTTGCTGTGCCTCTAGTTTCGGCAGAGCCAGCTGTCAGTCACGCAGCTGGGCGGATCCCGGCATAATTGTCGGGATCCGCTTCAGCTGTGGCGTCTCAGTATACTGAGCCTAGGGTGACGGGAGGACGCTAGTTTGTGTCCTCCCGTTACCCTAAGGAGAACTATGGGCAAAAGCCTTAACCCCATAGTTCTCCTTTAATCAACTAAGTCAATTATCATCGATGATGGCAACGTTTTCCATCAGCGATTAGTTGACTTTCGATCAGTTGGCCTGCTTGCGGCTTCCCGCACGCCTCATGGAGTCGCCGCTTCACGCCGCTTCTCCTCACGAACTCGCCGCTGCCCGCCCATCCACGATGGGCACAATGAAGCAAGGAGTAACGGGCGTGGGGGGAAGGCAGCTGCCAAAAGACAGGCCCACAATCTCAGGGAGACTGCTCAGGTAAGCCTGCATTTCCCCCCACATGGCACAACGTATTGCTGGGATAGTGGGATTTGTATTCCTCTATAGCTTATGGTACATTGTGATGTATATTATACATGGGACTACAAATCCCAGCAATACATTATACGCTGTATGTATAATGTATTGCTGGGATTTGTTGTATAGCTGCTGGTATTCTGCATTGCATTGGATCATCATTATTCAGCGCACTGCAGAATACCACCAGCTATAGGGGGGACTACAAATCCCAACAATAATAAATTATGCAACGCAATGCAGAATAACACCAGCTATAGAGGAATACAAATCCCAGCAATAGTACATTATAGTATAATGTACTATTGCTGGGATTTGTTGTATTCCTCTATAGCTGTTGGTATTCTGCATTGCGCCGCTGTATACAAAAAATTGCTTGGATTTGTTGTATTCCTATATAGCTGATGGTATTCCGCATTGCGCTGTATAATCATTACACAGCGCAATGCAGAATACCACCAGCTATAGAGGACTACAAATCCCAGCAATAATTATACAGCGCATTGCAGAATAACACCAGCTATAGGAGGACTACAAATCCCAGCAATAATAAATTATACAGCGCAATGCAGAATAACACCAGCTATAGGGGACTATAAATCCCAGCAATAGTACATTATGGTATAATGTACTATTGCTGGGATTTGTTGTATTCCTCTATAGCTGGTGGTATTCTGCATTGTGCTGTATAATGTATTATATTGCACACCACTTTTTTTTTTACTTCCACCGCTCCAAGCTTGCTCCCGTGATGGACTACAATCTCAATACAAACTAGTAGTCCATCACAGGAGCCATTTTTTATTTCTTTTTTAATCCGATCAAACTTAATAATGGGTTTTGGAGGAATGCACCGGTTTTTCGGTATAGAGGTACTGACATTTTTTTGTTTTTTTAGGTACTTTAGGTAATTAAGGAAGCTGGGCGGCATATAATGACTCCCACCCTGCCTTTATGATTAGCTGGGAAGTTGTCTCTATGCTCACGGCATGGAGCCGGCTTTTTGGCCAATCAGGAAGCCAGGGGTGGGTAATGACTTGCCGCCTGTCTGATTAGCCGGGAAGCAGGTTGGCATGTAATGGCTCGCCGCACGGCTTCCCGATTAGCCGGGAAGCCGTCTCCATGCTCCCTCGTCACCAGGTGCATCTGGTCGAGTACTCGCCCAAATACTCAATATCGGCAGCAATACCGATACTTCTATCGGTGCATCCATACTTAGAAGCATTGTGTCCACCTTATTACCAAGAAGGTACACTGACGTATAGGAACTTCTTACACTCCTCCTCTAGGGGCACTAAAGCCGTGCGAATGGAATCACAGCATACTTTTATAGGTGAAACCCAAAGTGAATTGGATGAAAAAAAAATAAAAAAAAATCTTCCTTTAAAATATATGTTAAGGTATTTGAAAGCAGCGGTGTCGAATGCCTTGGGGGTCTTACGAATAGATTCAGACTGAGGGTTAGCACGCGCTGCGCGACACGAGGTGACTATCGTTGTACACCCCAGTGGTACGGGGGACTACTCCACCAGGCCACAAATAGATTACTAGTTCGGCTGGGGAACTTACTGAAGGTATCTATGTGCTTATTTTTTTCTTTTATCCTTGGGATGTATGTTGTATAGATATATTTTAAATTAGTTTTCATAATTTCAATAAAATTGTAATTTAAATCCAGAAATGTAAAAAGTTATTATAAAATATAGATACTTCTATGAAAATTGACCAATACTCAGAAACATTACCTCTTCTTTCAGTGCATGTTTCTTTTGTTCTAGACAAATTTCTTTTGCTCGCATCAGTTGTAAAGTCTCCTTGGAAACCCCATACTGCAGCTTTTCCATGCGCTCCACAGCAGCCGTCCAGGCCGTCTTGCCAAACTTCTTCTGGTCAGCTCTCATGCGATCATGCACAGCTTTAATCACAGAGAAAGTAGATATACACATTAATAATCTACCTTAACCGGTTTACAGAGCACTGAAAAATAAATGATGGAATCGGATCAAAGGAAAACCAATCACAGCCTGAAATGATTTCCAACTACCCTCATATCACAAGAGAATAATAACAACAAAAATAACAACTGTTGCAATTTGCATTAGCTGCATTTCTTTGCTGGCAGTTTATTAAGAATCATAATGGCTTTGGTTGACTTTAAACTCCGACTGTAACCAGTAATCAAATTTACAGGACAAGTAGATTTTAAACTGGATACATCATATATCTTATGTTCCTCCCTTTGCAAAGTGATTGGAAACACTGTATGGTCTGGCAAACAGGGATGTTTTGTAAGCTTCCATCAGCTCAGAAGCGGTGTTTAGAATATCTTAAAGAAGAAGAACTCCAGGTTTTACAAAAATAACCCTTTCAGTGGGGCCTAGCCTCGCTCTTCAAGGGTTAAACTGCATGTTTTTCTCTAGCTCTCAAAATACCTGAACAATGCCTGCATCCAATCAGATTCTTCAGATATTTTGAGAGCCAGCCAGAGACATCATCACGTTTAATACAGTCCATTCACCTGTATTAGATGTGAGGACACCGAGGGACATACCACAGCCGGAGTGGTGGGGAACAGAGGTAAATGGTCACTGCCACAGGATCGAGGATCAGGTGAGTATTTCTTCTTTAAGCCCCTAGAGAAAAACGAAGAGTGTGGGGGTAGCCAGAGTTCAAGGGTTAATTTAAAAAAAAACCTGGACTTCCTGAAGTGTTACATGTATAACTAGTAACTTTCCCCAAATAGAGCACCTTGTACATGCATGTTCCATGCCACAAAGTCAAACAAAAAGTAAAACCATTCAGCAATTTTCACATTGCCTTAGCAGAAGTGGTATTTAAGGGGGGCAGATTTCCTATTGGGCAGAGCAGAAACATAGGCAGCAAAGGTGGCTTGTTCGCATACAATGACAATATTTAAGGTCATTTAACCGCTTGCTGTCCGCCCGTCGTGAGAAAAACGGACGGACGTGGGACTCGCATTTGCAGGTTGCCGTCTGCAGAGGGCATTTTTCCCTAGTGCGTGCGCGTGCGTACTTGCAGAAAGAAAATCAAACGTTCTTTACAGCCGATACCGGCTGTTTCACATACAACTGATCAGCGGCTCTATAGCCTGCCGATCGGTTGTATGTTGCGATTTGCCCCCCTCCTCCGATCTGTCGCGTACCGCCGCCGCCAGTGCCGCCCCTCCTGACCCCTCACCTTCAATTCCGGGATCAGTCCTCTGGCTGCTATAGCCAGAGAAAAGCAGCTCTCTGCTTCATCAGCTTCTTTTGGGGTCCCCAGGTGACATTAGGGGTCCTAGAGACCCCTAATGTCTCCATAAAAAGGACCTGTCAGTGTGCCTTTGCAATTATATAGGGGGATTGTTATCCCCTATGTAATAGCAATAACAATAAATGTAAAAATAAATAAATATATAAATAAAAAATATATTTAAAAAAGTCACATATAAAAATATATATTTTTTTAAAACCCCAAAATGTTTAAGTCCCCCACCCCCATGTTTACGCATATATAAACGTAAATATGCGTCAGATGCCCCAGCACGCGAAAACGACAATTGCGCTCCACACGTTACATAACGCCGCGAACGTCGGAGTGAAAGCAATAATTCTAGGGCCATCAATCACTGATAACACTAAACTGATGAGCGGTAAAAGCTTTTAAAGCGTTGCTTATGGCCAATTTTGGGTATGGTAGTTTTTTGAGGTTTCGCGCGCGTACGCAATTTTAAGGCTTGCCATTTTTGGTGTCTTTTTACCCGACGTGACCCTGTCTTTTATATTTTACCAAAAAATTGGGTAATAATAAATGTTTTAGAATGTAATATAGGGGAAACATTTACAAAAAAAAAAATCTGTAATTTTTCCTTAATATATTAAAAAATATTAAATTAATTTCAGTACAGCGTTGCACGACGGAATAAATGTCAGTCAAAGTACCGCAGTGCTAAATACTGAAAAATGGCCTGGCCAGGAAGAGGGTTTAACACCCCAGACTTCAAGTGGTTAAACATTATCACAATTAGGGAAGCTCCGATACAGATACAAGCATCGGTATCGGCGGCGATACCATGTATTTGCATGAGTACTCGTACTAATACTCCGATACAAAAACCGAGTACCTGTGTCGCCATCTTCAAGGACCCGAAACCGCCGCACACAGGACCTCCATAGTGTCTTCAATTAAACAAGATGGCCGCAAACTCCTCCTTCAAGTCCTCAGTCATCTGCTCCATTCTGACCTCTTCTCCCACTGATTGGCCGATTGGATGATTGACAGGCTGATTGACAGGAGTGACTGGTGAGGAAGCCAGCATCACCCAATTGGCCAATCAGCGGCAGAAGAGGTCAGAATGGAGCAGATGACTAGGCTGTGACACGGAGTGGCTGAAGCAGACGGAGAAGACGACACAGCGGGTTAGTACTGCAGCACCGCATGGGGGCTGGGCACAAAAATGCTGTTTAACGGCATATATTATTTTTTTAAAAGACATTAAATAAAGAACTAAACTATGTAGATATTGCTAACTAAGGCTTGTATCCCCTTAGTGGGGAAAATAGATGAGCACATGTCCAAACTCCAAAACAGTGTATTATTGTATAGTGTGGCACAGGTATATCCAATTCTGCATACCTGGCTTTATATTGTAATTTAGCAATAACATGATAAATATTAATTTCATGTTCTTCATAATATTAAGATACTGACCTAAAATCATGATTTTGTATTGCTTTAGAAAAAATGTGACCTGTCTCTTTAAGAAAAAGTATTGGTAATTGGTATCGGCGGGGACTTTAAAAAAAAGTATCGGTACTCGGTCTTAAAAAAGTCATATCGGAACATCCCTAATCAAAATATTGTAACGTAGGTTGGGACCAGAAAAACAAAGCATGTCCGAGATAACAGGGGATATCCTGGCAGAGGGGTGTTACTTGGGGCTCCAAAAGTTAAGTGTCTATATGCTTGAGCAACAAAAATCCGCCACAGAGTTTAGAGACCCAAGCATCTGGATTTGGCAAATATCAGAATCTGAAAAATGTTGATACACAACTCCAACACACAGAAATTCCAGTCCAACCAATTGAGTATGCACACTAGACAACCAAAAGGGAAATACTGAACGGTTACCCTTCTGGGCCTTTGCTGTTATTTCAAAATATTTAACGGTTAGGTCCTGAATAGAAAGTACGGCCATGTGAGCTTTCTTCTGCCAATCTGCATCTTCTTTCTTCAGGCTCTCAATTCTTCTCGGGCCTAAATAATCATTCTCTATGGAAATCTGTAAATAAAAGCACATATTAGAAGGAAACAAAACTTGCAAGAGAGTGAGCAGCCATCATTACAGTACATCACTACAGAATCTAGAGTCCTTGTTCATTTACAGCATCAGGACCAATGACTATGGCTCATTCTGCACAGATCCGTTAACCAAAGGCTTACATACACTGGTCAGCCATAACTTTATGACCACTGAGCAGGAACATGAATAACATTGGATTATCTCGTTACAATGGCACCTGGAAGTGGGTGGGATATATTAGGCAGCAAGTGAACATTTTGGCCCTGAAGTTATTATGCTGGAAGCAGAAAAAAATGGACAAGCGTATGGACGAATGGGTATGAGCAACTCCGAAAGTGCAGCTCTTGTGGGATGTTCCTGGTCTGCAATGGTCAGGATCTACCAAAAGTGGTCCAAGGAAGGAAGATTGGTGAACCGGCGAGAGGGTTGGATCACTGATGCATGTGGGGAGCAAAGGCTGGCCTGTGTAGTCTGATCCAATATAAAAGAGCCACTGTAGCTCAAATTGCTGAAAACGTTAATGGTGGTTCGGATAGAAAGGTGTCCAAACACACAGTGCACAAGTTTGATGTGAATGGTAATGGAAGAAGGTGGGTTGGTCTGATGTCACATTTTCTTTTACATCATATGGATGGCCAGGAGCGTGTGTGTCGCTTACCTGGGAAAGAGATGGCACCAGGATGCACTATGGGAAGAAGGCAAGTCGGTTGAGGCAGTGTGATGCTTTGGGAAATGTTCTGCTGGTAAATGTCAGGTCCTGCCATTCATGTGGATGTTACTTTGACATCTACCTAAAAACATTGTTGCTGAGCAAGTACACCCCTTCATGGAAACGGTATTCCCTTATGGCAGTGATCTCTTTTAAAAGGATAATGTGCCCTGCCACACTGCAAACATAGTTCAAGAATGGTTTGAGAAACAGGAGTTTGAGGTGTTGACTTGGCCTTCAGATCTCAAACCAATCTAGCATCTGTGGGAGGCCCCACCTCACAACTTACAGGACATAAATGGATCTGCTACTGACGGCTTGGTGCCAAATACCACAGCATACCTCCAGAGGTCTAGTGGAGTCCATGCCTTGATGGGTAAGAGATGTTTTCACAGCAAAAGTAGGACTTACTCAATATTAGGAGGGTGATCATAATGTTATGGGTGATTGGTGTATACGAAAAGTTCAGATATTTAGTGCTTAGTGCAACAATCTGATTTTTTACCAATAGAGAAAGAGTTCAAATGATGACGTAGTGTGCTGATATAACAAACAATGCATTTTAACTGAGCACTGTGTCACTTGAAGGCGGAGAAAGCAAAAGACAAGACATTTTAAACGGCTTTACGTTATGTTAAAAAGCGCAGAAAGAGATAAACTCAAAATAAATGGGCTGCATGGAATTTGACCCTAGAACAGCTCACTGCTTCCTTGTCACTCATCATCCTGCAAACGCTTTTTGTCCGGCATTCCCCTTTGCTCCCCTCATGAGTTACAATAAATAACTGCATGCAGCATGGCCAGCAGCAAGTCAGCACAGTAAATGACAGGTATGGAGAGATGTATAAACAGTGTCACTTTTTGAAGTAATGTGTGAAACACACATCAGGTAACATCATATTAATCCAACAGAGAAGACTTTGATATTTTATCTATACAACATTTTCCATAGGACAATATCACACACTAATATTATCCCCCCGAAGGCTTTGGGACTATGATCCTATTCTACAGACCTTCCCATCTGGACTTAAAGTGACATTAAAGTCATCCTCCAACCCCTCAATGCTGCTTTAAGGACTTGCCTTAAGTGATGCCTCTTGATCCTAGTCGCCGTCCGCCGCCGCTCACAGTCGCCGTCCGCCGCGGCGCCGCCACTCACAGCCAGCTGTCAGGTGAGCAAGTCTGCGGCTTGAATCCTGTGCCCGGGTCTGCCAAAGGAGTGTACCCGGGCACAGGATTCCAAAACCGGACTGTCCGGGTCATTCCCGTACGGGTGGCAACCCTATCCGAACATCATCTTCCTTCCAGTAGTCCCTCCAGCGCTGGTTCCCGGTCTCAGATCCAGCACAGACTGCTGTCTCTTCCTGTCCCACAGAGTCTGTCTGGCGTGCACGCTCACAGCTGCCTGCATTGACTTTCCCTGTAGCTTTCCTCCTCTCCCAACCGGTGATATCTACTGCCCATGCACCCGCCCACACTGCCATTCATGAAGCTGGATTCTACAGACAGGAGTGAGCGGCAGAGGTAAGTTTTTACCTATTTGGTAACTTTTTTAAAAAATGTTTTTGCATATATCTACTGCTTGCTATTACATATATGTAAAAAAAAAAAAAAAAAGACTGTCACTTTAAAAATGTCAGGACCTGCTTTCACTTTCATAGTCAAAGTCCCAGCCTGTGTAATACAAAGGCCATCAGCTGTTCTTTCTGCACTGTCCACTGTAACTGTAACACGGTCAACATAAAACCAAATAGAAAAAACTTTTTTAAATAAGTATTTGCTATTTAAAGAATAACTCCTGGCAAAAGACCAAATAACCCCTGCAGTGTGGCTACCCCCCTGCACTGCAAGGATTAAGTGCTTGTTTTAGCCTGGGGTCTAAAATAAAAAATATATATATATTTGCCTGATCCTCGATCCTGCCTGGCTGCTAGACTGGTCCCCGTAGCCTCTTCTTCCCCTCTGATGAACAATTACAAAACTTTTGGTAGGTAAACTATTTCACAAATATGTATTTGAGCTATGTACATATCAGTTTAGCTACTGCCAGCTCTGAGGAAAATCCCACAAATTTCAAAGTGGTATTGCATTTTCTATACCTTTATAAAAAAATTCTATATACACACATATACATATATATATATATATATATATCTATCTATATCAAATGTATGTATCAATTAAACTACATATACATACATATACAGTGTGTCTGTGTGCGATTATATATTTTTATTTTTTAAATATTTGTATTTATTGCAGATCACAATCAAAAGGCATACCGCAACATATCCAGATTACCAACTGCTTCACTGCATGTTAGCAGCTGTGTTTACATGTGCAAAGTTGAAGCTATATATGACCTTACCGATTTGCATAAATATGAATACGTTTGGTTATGGGATACAAAAGGAAAATGTCTTAGATAACTATTCCAGAGTATTAGATGAAAAGATGATAAATACTGTAACTGTAAAAGGGAACAAAAAATTGTGAAGCTCCATGGAAAGCCGCCAAAAGCACAGGGAATGACATCTTGGAGATTGTCCAGCAACATGAAGTGACAGACCAGTGAGCGGGAAGGAGAAGTGCAGAAAAATGACAGTATTGTTAATGACACTTTTTGGGTGGCAGAAAAACACAGCTGAGCTCTTGGTCAGCTCAGCACGATGGACACAATCATTTAAATAGAATCAAAGAGCTTGGCACATCATCTACATCAAGTGTTTCTCACCTGAAACTGATTCTCACCAAAACCTTCCCAGATTTTATTCCCAAGATGCTCAGTCCTCAAGGCCCAATAAGATGATGGCTAACAGTTTTGTAGCCTGTGGAGCTGCTGCCCAGAATGATTTGTCAGGCTTATTGGGTGAGAGGCCTGAAAGGTCATTAGGAAGATTTGCTTTTTCTTTTACTTCATTTTTCACATAAATATGAGGTTTCTTTTTTTCCCAACATTCCCTTTTGCCCCCCAAAAATTCAGAATTTTCAAGATTTTTGGCCAGGAAGCCGGCTCCATGTTCCCGTGTGGCATTGCTGGTCAGAGGAAATCTCCCTCTGACCAGAAGTCCTGGTGTCAGGGAAGGTATCGGAGCATTTGGGTGAGGTATCGGTATCGGCGTATCCCTACTTCATATACATGTATTGCAAGTATTATTCAAACGTACACACAGGCATCACAGTTGCCACCTAGGTAAGGGAAACATAGACAATCCAGGAACAAGCGTGGGGGTATTAAGGGAAGGAGTGGTGTGGAATTTCTTTAGTATCAATCAACTTGGAGCTCTTTATGACCTACTTTTACCCACTGGTCTTATCTTAAGTGCTAGTTTTTGTTTTGTTTTTCTTTCAGTCAACTTTGTGTATTATAAAAGGGTTTTGTGACACTGACTTTTTTAAATAATGTATGTGGATCCTTAACTTTTTGGGTTGGCCTTATCATTAGCTACTGACTTGTATATCGCACCCACTTTTTGTATTCATTCAGTAATCAAGGATAACGTTATTCAATACTTGCTTTTTTAAGGTATATATATATATATATACATACACACTGAGTGGCCAAATTATTATGACCACCTAACGTTTGTAGGCAAATTAGCTATAATTTTGCTCTCAAGTTGCTAGAGGGCCAGACCATTATAAATAGGGAAGCAGGTTGTTTACTTAGCGCAGGGTATTTTTCCCTCCTTTAATTACATCTAACATTCGAATAGAACGCTCATAAATCTTCTGACTGTCCTGTTTTCAGCCGTTAGCCAACACCACTCTAAAGCCTTATACCAATCACAGAAAGAAAAAAAAAAATTAGCTTGTCACATCTAAGACTCACGGAGGTAATTAAATTTGTGTATATACATAGAAAGCCTCCATTGCAAGTTAGAATATCATTCCAACATTTGAACACCTATAAATGACATGGTTATTTTTCTGGCTTTCTTCTTTTAAGATGTAAGAGAATTTTAATTCAATATGCCATTCTGCAAAATCTTGCTTGTGTTGTCAACCTAAATCCAAAGGAAATGAGACATCAAAGGAAATAACTACTTGACACAACTAGGACAATCCTAGTAAGGCCTATATTTCTTACATAATGAGATTACAATATGTATCTTACGGGAAACAAAATCAAATGCAGCTAGATATCGCTCTAAAATAAACAAAATCAGTCTTTGATGAAAATGCCATAAAAAAAAAAAAAAATGTCAGCTGATGGGAGACAGGTAAACTAGAAGAAACGGGATATCAGTTCCTCAGTGTTGTGCTG